TCGCATAGCTTCAGCTATACATAAAAGGTGGGTTCAAATTCTGTTCGAAAAGTTCAACACAATGCGAAAGGTAATTTTGAAGTCACTTCTTCCGTCCACTTGGTGATCTCTATGACAAAATAGAACTTCTAATAGATTTTACTTGGGGTTTTCTGAACTATGAAGGAAGATGTTCAGTAATACGTTTGTTGAGCTGCCTAGTCGTTCACCCTATATAGCTTTCTTCATAGGATCAACTAAATTTATAGATACACATAGATGTGGCACAACTAGACAGCTTGTCTTTCACTTGAGCAATTATCATTGGTCGGCTGTATAAGCCCGTTTTATGGCTGTAGATAATCCTAGATGTAAGACTTCACCAGCCGCGAACTCACTGAATTGCAATTTTAGGAAGAGTTGTTTCTTTTTAACTGTTGTCGATTTTTCTTTATTAATCACCTTTCTAAGATTTATACCTTCCATGAACTATTCTATAAATTACATAATCCAATCTTCAAGAGTTGGTTAGTAAGGATTAGATTTGTTTTTACGAGTTTGACCACGGATTGATGTCAGTTAGAGAAGTATTGAAAACCAGGGAGTATTGAACAGCTGTTTCGTCCTTGTTTGCGGATCACTGGCAGTACTCACCCACTGCCAGGGTTCGAACCCAGGACCTTTTTGTTACAAGGCAAGCTCGTATTCCATTCAAACACTGGGCCCGACTCAGTGGTCAGCCAATGAATTCTAGTCCTAGTGAGAAGTCGTGACCAGTGACGTCCATCCAGTCAAATGTATGAGGATGGATATCCCACCGATGACATTGGTTGGGGTCGCGCTAAATACATCACGAATTGGCAGAAGTTAGAATTCATGGGTTAGCCACTTAATCGAGTTCTAGTGGCTGAATGGTAGCTAGCTTGCCTTGTAACCAGAAGGTCCTGGATCCGAACCCTGTCAGTGGGTGCGTACTGTCTGTGATTCCCAAACTAGGAGGATGAAACAGCTGTCCAGTACTCCATGGTTTTCAATGGTTCTCTAACTGATATCAATCCATGGTCAAACTCATAATCCAATCTATTAATTAATGTTTAACTACGATTATAATCACAGATATTTCGTCGCGATTCACATTATTATTGTAAAGCTTGACCTGGTTACTTAAATATCCTGAGTTCAATCCTTTAACGTGAGGTGATGGGTGAATGCTGTTGAAGAATGTCAAATCCTCTAGTGCCATTCGACTTTAAATGGCTCTCTAAATGAAGATCAATTCATGACCTAACTTGGAATAATAGATGAATCCATTGTGTCCTACATAACTGTGGTCTACTTGTGTTAACCCGAAGACTTTATATGTCTCAGAATTGATGTTCAGCAAGTAACCCATTAATGAAATGCAGAAGTAACTAATGTCTTTTTTGTGTCTATGAATAAACAAATGGGTTTTAATAGTTGAAACCATATTTAGCAATACTATTTATGCAAATACATTTTAAATACTGTATTACTAAATTTTGTTATACTACTCATAATCACTTATGCTTGAATAGAATTTTGTCTGCATATGAATCATTACCCACAACTGAATTCGAAATGAGATAATTGTGACCCTATACTAACAGTTTTGTTAACGATTGTATATACAGACTACAAGACATAATTAATTACAAATACACTATGATACCAATTAAGGTAGAAGAAAGGGGTAGGTGATTCATCTCAGGTTACTCATATTTCAGTTTGTTAACTGAACTGCAATTTGGACATAATCAACCTTATTTATTTATTTGTTTAGTATATTATAACCACCAACGATTATTATTATTATTCAATGGGGTTCCAAGTTGAACGTACGAGTACAGTAACACATGTCCAATTTCTTCTATTTTCTGCCGTCCTCTTCAGCTGGCTGACTCCACGATTGCCCATAATCTCTCATCTCCTCCTCACCAGCACACGATCTCCTCCATGTCAACCTTGCATCGACGACCCACTCATCGCTTCCCATTAGCATTCCACTCGAGCAATGGCCTGCATTATGCGTGATATCATTCGACGGCCTCCTCAATGGATGCCCGGTCCATCTCCATTTTCTCCTACATATTTATTGAGCGACTGGCTCTCGCTTGTTGATTTGTTCCCAGCCACAGTTTCTCGCTGCTAATACTTTCTGGCCGCCGGCCGACCAGGAATTTGATCTTCAGTAGGCAGAGAAGGCAGCTGTTAATAAAAATTTGCAGCCACCTGTTGGAAACCCTTTTTCTTGACATACTGGTCAAGTTCCTGACCCGTACAGAAGGACCGACTTGACACTGGTGTTGAAAATTAGAATCTTGTTCTTTATGCTGGCTGAGTGCAGTGCAGAAGATTTTCAAGCGATTATAGCGTCCAATAAACGTTTGAGTCACATCAGAATTCGGAAAAGTAACCTCTGATATACTTACATGCCGCTCTACTCAACACTATCTCATACATATTCATAATCATGACGCAATATACTACTGATTGACTCAGATGAGTAGTTGAATACCACTTCCACCAACCAACATCAGTATTTACTAGCCAGATAGAAGTGATCCAATGCCGGATAGCCATTCTGCGCATTCGGCATAGAACTCATCTGGGGGTAGACTAGGTCTAACTCAAGTCAAAGAGCAGAATCAGTTTGAACCACCCGGATTTTAGCTTGAGACTTGGGAAAACTAGTAATACTTTGGATCAAATTGGCAATTAACACGATGTGAGATGAAATTTCACCAGAATTTCCTTTGGAAAACAAAAATATTCAGATGACACTGGTATATAATCTGCTTGATTCCATAAATGACAATTAAGAGTGTAAGCATCAATGGATGACCTTTAGATGTTTAGATAACTTCCATTTGGTTAGAAAGCACTGCTGGTTAATGTGAATGGTATTTAACTACTCATAACAATTAATTAGTAGTGTAAAGTATCTAATTTAGTGTGATTAAGATTGACAGAGGACACAGCTGGAATACTTTTAATAGTGATGTATTTCAAAAAATTGACAATGCAATGATTACCAATTAACCCGACAACAACAAAACGACGATAACGTCTGAACGATGGGACGTGATACAAATTACCCGTATAAGTTGTTCAGGGTGGCTTGTTTCCAATTTTTCCTTCTCATCACACCCCTTCTTTAGAGTATACACTGCAAACAATCATAAATATTGAATATCTTATAAATAATCTTACTTCGTCAGTCAATATTTTATCGGTAGAATAGTCGCTAGCCACCGGTCAACTCACTCCCAAATCTCGCTTAGCCAGGAGTAAGTGCGGTAAACAGGGAAGGTTTGATGTTAGGCTAGCCACCTTATCCTGTTAAAACAATAATACCACTACTAATAATAATTCAGAGTTCTAGGGCTTGAAACCTTATGTTCCATTTGGAACGTAAAGGAACAGAAAAGTGTTATTTCGTTTGGTGATGACTAGCAGTGGAATGCAGGATGTGAATTTTGTCCGATTTAGGACTCATTATTGGGAGGACCTGCGTTTCTTAGATTCAACTACTAGGCATCATCAACCAAAATAACATCATGTTAATCTTCAGACTTCATCGATACGTCTGTACTGAGAGTCGACATTAGAACAGTGGCAGAGCATACCGGTCCAACATAGACAAGGTGAAAATACAAATTAATTTAAACAATCTTACGAATATTTTGGTCATAGATTGATGTCAATTAAAGAACCACTGGGATAACGATTTCGTCCTTTTTGAAACCACGCACGTACAATTCACTACAGCCTACCTCTTGGAAATCAACTCAGTGCTTGTTAGTGACTGGTTACAAGAAGAAGTCACCAGGTGTTCCACTGGGAAGTTGTGAACTTTAGCGTCCAACAAGGTAGGGTTTGAGGACAAATATATGCCCACAACATTGGATGGTTGTCGCAATAAAATCGCGAATTGTCAGAAATTAAAATCCATGAGCCATTGAATTCCAGCCCAAGTGGCTGAGTGGTCGACGAATTCGGCATTGTAACCTGAATGTCTTGGGTAAGATCACCGATGTAGTCGTGAGTGAGTACTACTAAAGAGTCCCAAAGTAGGACGAAACAGTAGTCCAGATCCCTCTGGTCTTAAATGATTCTCTATATCTCTATAGCCTAATGCTTGAAAATCTTAGGTATGAGTAGAATTTTATGTATTTATAGTTCACAGTAACTACAACTTTGACATTTTTTATTCAATCGTAACACTTCGAGGAAAAAGATAAAGTAGTTTGCATGATCTTTCTGTGTGAATAAAAGTCGACTGATGTTGGTACACAAAAAAATAATAATAAACTGAACAAATTAATCAATATGTATTCAAAGTTATTCGATCATACCACTATTATAAAAACAAATAAGCTGATCTGTTGTGGTGTGATCTGTGTAAGAGAAGACCATTCTTTTATAATTGGCGATGATCTCAAGGTAATTTAAGTCGATATTTACTCTATTTATTATTTTATTTTTGATTACAGCTTGATTTCACACTGTATTTTTGGTACAAGTATGGAATTTTCAACATGCGATATCGGTAGCCCAAATTCTGCAGGCCGACCGTTGATATCAGGTGTGCGTCGGCAGGGGATCGAAACCCGGACCATATGTATGGCCAGCGAGAGTCCTAACCGCCACGTCGTACTAGTGGTTAATAGAGATATAAGATCAGTAAGGTATTTCGCACAGAGAAGGGTTAGAAACGGCCAATCCCGAAAACTCTACATCTTGACATATCTTGTGGCGGTTTCTAGTCAGCAGCGGTAAGTTCTTAATACGTACATAACTTCAATAACCATTTGGAACAGGTCATGTGTGACTTGCCTCAAACAGTTGACCAATAGGCTCTACAGTCAAGGAGCACTAATCCTCTTTTACTTCCGGGCATTCCAAGAAGAAGACAGTCAGAGATCCCCATTACTCACTGACTGACTGACAAGCCCCAAAAAGAACGAAATACAAGTTCTAAACTTTTCACTGTTACCCACCACCAACAACCAGTAAATAATAAACACAAAAAAATTCATCCTTTAAACTTTTATTAATGAGATAAAGCACTGCTGAATGAAAATTAAAGGCGATCGATCAATGGAGTAGCAGGTCATTCTCGTCAAATAACACACCAACCCAATACATTGTGATTGACAAGCAATCAAAGTAGCTATGTGTACAGAATTCAAGAGATAATAATGACAATAACCAGGATGATGATGATAATAATAATAATAACAATAGTAAGTAAGTAATAACGATAATAAAACTTGGGAAACTGAAACGACCGAAAAAAGGGATCGCAGGCACACATGCATGTTTTGTTTTCACAGTAGAATGGATTATTCAGACCGAAATGTGTGTGTGTGTGTGTATGAGTGGGTGATTGAGTGCTTACGTGTGTCTTCAACGCAGATAGAACAAGTCACGCATTACAGTACTCATCATCTATCTATCTATCATCTATCCATCTCATTAGAAAATACTTTTGTCTTCATTCCTTAACAAAACGAAAAGATAAGGAGAAAAAGGAATACTGAGGGCGGGAGACAGAGAGAGAGAGAGAGAAGTTCGGCAGATGCAACATGCATCATTCCATTAGGAAAACGAAAAGCACTTGAACAAATGAATAACCAACTGAAAACAAGGGAGAAGACAAGTAATTGTGTGTGTGTGTGTGTGTGGGAGAGAGAGGGGGTGAATATATTTGCCGAAAGAGAAATTGGGGTTTTATGCTTCGATTGAATAACAACAGTTAGAGCACTACAGATCGATCGATAAGGAAACAAAACAAAATTACACATATGTATGCATACTACAATGGTGTACACACACACACACACAAATATATAGTGAGAGTTGACTGATGTTCACGAAGAAACAAGGAACAGCAAAGAAAACAACCTGTAGACTTGCATTAATCTCATTCATATATGATGATGTATTAGCTAGCGTTTAGCAGAGTGATTGATTTGACTTCACATTCTCCTCTTTAAACTGTGCACAGCAGTGGAGCTTCAACAACTAAAGTTGTTCCAATCAATTGAGCAGTAACTGAGAATGGATCTACCGTTTCAGGAATTTCATAGGACTGCGTGAATTCAGCTGTTGAAGTTGATGATCCTTCAGTTTTCTTTTGACATCCTGTGATAACAATACAATTTGAGTCCATACGTACGCATAATTCATCTGCTTTGTATACTGGATCAACAGTCACTTCAAGATGTAATTTTCTGCCATTAATACCATCTTTCATGATTGTTGGTCCAGAACGACCTAAATTGTAGAAAAAAAGTAGGAATTTATACAAAAAATTACAATGAAGTTTTAAAAATATAATATATTTTTGAAGTCAACTGGAGTGTACTGATGCGCATCTCATCCTGTCTGGGACTCGTCATCTGGATGTACCTGCACTCCTAAGTCAATGAGTGATGGTGTTCCCACCAAGGCTCGAACCAAGCGTCTGTAGTTTCAAACGCCAAAGCACTTCGGTCCAATCAATCGACAGGAAAATCTAAATTGAATTAAATAATTAATAAAACCTGTTGCACACGAAGAGGTGGCTCTCGTGGTCCAATTGGTCTAATGGATAACGCTTTGGCCTTTGAAACTATCAGTACTGGGTTTGGGCCCCAGTGGGAGCACTATAACTCACTAAGTAATGAAGGTACATTCAGATGATGAGTCTCAAATAGGACGAAATGCACATGACTAGATTCCACTTACTGCTAGTCCCCATTCACTAAGTCATTGGTAAAACATTAAGAAGACTTTAGTTTGTAAAAGAAGGATAAAATAGCGACACCCGCTTTCCAGACGTGTACATCAGTAGAAACAACATTGGAACCCTACAAAAAAGTATGCAGGAAAGCTAGATATAATTGAAACTATGACAATATATTTTTTATATATTTTGATTACAGCTTGATGCCACACCGTATTTTTGGTACAGGTATGGAATTTTCAGCATCTGATATCGGTAGCCAAAATATTGCAGGCCGACCATAGATATCGTGTGAGTCGGTAGGAGATCGAACCCCGGACCATGTGCATGGTCAGCGAGAGTCCTAACCTCTGTGTCCAATAGTTCATTAAAGGAATCTCTTAAAACATTATTGAGTTCGAGTCGCGGCCGACACACTCCTAAACCTTGCTTTGCCAGTTGTAAGCCCAGAAAAGATTAAACGTTTGGCTTTTAAGATTAACAGTTTTGTCCCATTAAAATAAGACCATCTCTACTAAAAATGTAAAGCTCATACTATAAGCTCTATGTTCATTCCACTTAGAAAATAGATTAAGCAATCTAAATCCCTCCCCGCAGCCGAATTACAAACGCCAAGAACAATTGATTTAAAGACAAAAAAGGATATATTAAAATTTTACATGTACCTTGTGATGAATACGCGCCTGACTACTTTTTAGTTCAATTAAATGTCACCATATCTCATGACGAAATGTCAACGATTAAAGGTAGAAAGAACGATAAACAATCTCTCCTCCCTCCTGCCTCTTCAATTTAATTAACATTCCTAACACCAAAAACCAATTCCCACCTCCTCACTTCCTTTCATACAGATTTAAATAGACGCCAAAAGTAGTTGCAGTTAAGTATAAGCACTAATAATTCATTATTATCATGACTATCTAAGGTATGTGATGTTCAAATTTGACATTTTAGAAACTTAAGGATTACGGTACCAAACGCGCGCACACGCACGTACAAACGGGGATTCAGTGTGGCAATGGTAGAACACTGTTTAATTCAATTTTTGAAGAGAAATAAGCAAGAAGATATTGCATTACGAAATATTGTGTACTTTTTAATCAATGAAAAGAAAGCGATAAGATTACTATTTTGTATTTTGGAAAAATAAGAAACACCAATGAAAGATAACACTCCTTGGTTTAAATATATATATATATATATATACTCTTGATTGGATACTGGTAACTAGTGTGATGCATCTAGTCTTTTCTTTGGTGCAGATTGGATTCTATCAGTCACGTTTACAGTGTGACCAACATTCTAAGTGGCTCGCCATCATGGTGCACTTTGAATTGTTCGTATTAGATGGTTGGAGGTAATCGGTTGAGGGAAGCCTTGCATGACCTAGGTTTCATGCTAGTCGGCACTCACCAGTTAGTAAGCCGTGTCTGCAACCTTGAAGGAACTCATGTCCTTTCTGAGGTCAATCATAAGTCCGAATAGCTCAGTGGTAACGTCTTTGACTGTAGCCCTGGGTGATGGGGTTCAAATTGCAGAAGGGACATGAGTTTCTTCAAGGTTGCAGATACACCTTGCTAGCTGGTGAGTACCAACTAGCACCAAATCTAAGTCCAAGGCTTCCTGATGATTGCCTCCAACAATATAATACCCAGATGTATGCATGACATTTTCAGAAGTGAATCCCATGATGAGGGAGTACGGAAAAGGAATCATAGTAATTGTGGTTACTACTACCATAGCAACAATAACTATGACTACAACTACCACTGATTCTAATAATTAATGTTGGCGTCATTGAGACAGAAATGAATTACGTAATAATCACAATATTCATAGAAGTAATAATTCAGTGTTAGGGAAAGTGATGTTCTATGACTGAAAAAGGAATAGAGAAAAGAAAAGTATGAAACATGTGACATATGTACCTTCAGCAGAAAGGAAATCCACAGAATAAAACTGAAGGAGTGTGTAAAGAAGGAGATCAATTGTAAAAGTTAGGCAATAGTGGAGGTGTGGGTGTATCCGTGTGCTGAAAGTTTGTTAAATGTCTTTAGTAATCAATTCACTAGTATCATTCAAAACATCGTTTTTGTAATTTATTCCTTTACTTCACTTCCTCAACACCTGTCAAGAGGACACTGTTTGTCGTCTTGATATAATCAATCAAAATAATTTGTCCTCAAACCTAACCGAACTTCAATGTGACCAGGAATGCATAAAGGTCTGTTACCAAGTCTCTTGCTTTCTGCCGTTACAGCAGATCTATGAATATGGAAATTGAAGGATAATAACATCTAGTTAAAGAATAAATTTTTCCAAACTTATAAATTTAAACACGGCTGTGAAAAGCGAACTTAAGTAAACCTACTCCATTCTCTTCAGGTTCTTACACAATCACAATGTGTATATATCTACCGTATTTTTGGTACAAGCATGGAATTTTCAGCATGTGATATCGGTAGTTTAAATTTTGCAGTCCGACCATTGACATCAGATGTGCGTCGGCAGGGGATCGAAACCCAGACCATGAACTTGGTCGGTGAGAGTCGTAACCACTGTGTCACCGATGCACAAAAAACCAGAGAGTACTGGACAGCTGTTTCCCCATCCTAGACTGGGATTCATTGACAGTACGCACCCACCAACAGTTTTCGAACCCAGAACCTTCCGATTACAAAGCAAGCTCATATACCGTGCAGCTACTGACACTTAAATTAGTGCCAGACGGGGCTGCAAAGTAATGCTTCGATTCTTAATCGATGGTTCTTACTATGCAACAAATCATAAGAGTAAAACCGTGACGGTTGTTGTAGTTACCATAATGGCCAGTTATGTGGACGATACATTTTCAATGTAGAATAATAGATTAATTATGAGGTGATGAAATTAATAGTATTTGTGTAACAAACGTGCTAGGCTGAAATCGATTACAAAATATTGTGAAATAGGACACAATGGTGCTGATTAGTCATAATAAATTCATACAATGTGGGGTGGGAAAAACCAACAAGTCAGTTCAAGTTTATAAAAAGTGTTAGCTGAGTTGCTAGTACAAAGTGGAAGGTATTAAAGAGGAGATAGAAAGACTCCCATGACAGGCTCATAATACAATAACCAGTGTCTCAAATGAAACAGCTGGAGGCATATATTGAGAAAAGAGATAATATCACAAATAATAAGTTCGGATAGTATAAATGGAAAATTCGATAGTATTGTGGGAGTGTTTGAATGAAGGGTATAAATTATGATGAATAATAATAGTAATTTTAATAATAAGCAAAGAAAAAAGCCATGAGGGCAAAGGAGAAAAAGCATTCTTGGTGAATTTGGCCACGGTAGGAACAGCATCTGGACGCGTTCTTTTTGGATACAAACTTCTGGTTTAGTTGATCGTATTGCAACAGCTTCAGCTATGTGTAGGAGATATAAGGGAACTGTATGTGATAACGACTTCGGAATTCGGTATATAATCCTGAAAGCTGTGTTAACATCGATGTGATGCCCAGACTGACTTTTAATTCATGATATGGGAATATTTCATACTATTAAACCTATTCCATTCTGTTATGAAGTATAAGTATCCGAAAAAATGCACAACCTGTACTTTTATTGCAAATTAGGACGATATGTGTGGTTAACGGTAACATATTGGTGGGAGAATTGTTTACATTTTTGGTTTCTATATATTATTGAAGGCCCTAAGAAATTCAAACTAGTAACTATATTCTTACTGTTAAAGTAACAAGATTCCACGTTAACGTTACGATTAATGTTGCCTAACTCAACCAAAAGAAGTAGACCATTTTATATGACTGACTGAGTCTTAAGTCATTGACCCTCAGTGTCTCAAGCACCCCAAACCGGCAATCTACACCACCCTCCGTGGCTGATACTAATCAGCATTCGAAAACTTTATGGATTTAAGCTACATTTTGGTTTGGCCACTCCTAAATCTCTTCCGACCTCATCCTATGTCAGCTAAGATGTTTCGACGACGAGGCGGTGGCTTGGCATGTGTTACATGTGTCCTAGCCATGTTATTAAATATGAGATCAATATAACTGACTATTCAGCCTCTTGAGGTTGGATTTCAGTGACCCATGGATTCTAGCTTCTGTTAATTCGTGATATAGTGCTATCATCAACCAATAAATGCCCACTTCACTCACTTCAGGACCTTCATCCAGTAGCTACTAGGGAACTGGAGATTCATATTTCGATAATGGGTTTTTAGTAGGGATTTACATTAATTTCAATTCGTGCTTAAGTGGCTGGATCGTCAATGAGCTTAGCTTTGCAAACTAAAAATCTCGGATTAGATCTATAGTATGGCTATGGGATGTGGGGTGCTGAAGATCCCGAAACTACAACTAAACAGCTGTTCAGTTCATGAAGAAATCTCTATTAAAATTAATCTTAATTCCTGCACAATAACACCCATAATCTACATATTATTTTTGCTTTCATTACACATTTCAATAGAATGCACATTATTTCGAACGACTGAAATGTGTGAACTGATGATCAATTAATCAATCGATGAATT